AAATGCTACAAGTAAATAATAAAATGTACATGGCTCTCAACTTGAGTGGGATCTACTTAATTTTTTATTTTTTGGTAGGTCCCACACAATGTGAGTTTTACGTACACTCGTACAATATTATGTACATATAACATTTCTCAAACATTTATTAGTATTATTTATTATTATCAGTCATAAGACCTCAGCTTTATTATAAAAGAATTGCAAGGAACCCAAAAAAAAAATAAAAAATAAAAAATCAACATGGGTAGTGAATCATGTTCTCATGTCGTATTGAAAGGGTTTACTAAATTGTAACAAAATGTGAAAGGCTTTCTAAATTGTAAAGCAATTTTTCCACTAATTAAAAAAATATATATATTGGATTTAAATTTATACCTGGTGGGCAGCGGCAACTTTCCTGAAATATGGCACGTTGGCGATGGGGCCCACTTGGAATCTCTTGTGGACAAGACCATCGTGGACAAACATGTAGGCCATGCCGAAGACCGTGATACCTAGACCCTGCACCAATTGGTGGAGGTGTGTGTATGTTAAATTATGTGCATGCGATGCACTGGATAATATCCCTCCTATGAATATAATTGCTTTGACTGGAATTTTGATTTATTTTGACTATTGCTAAAGACAAAAATATAATTAATTAAAATTATTTCTAAAAAAAAAAAATAATAATAATTGCAATACTACTTACAGCGCCAAAGCAGAGCCCAGGAATAAGGCCTTTATTGAAAAATCCGTAGGAAAGAAGGGCAATGGCTGGGACAGCATTAATTATTGCAAAAACATCGTTCAGCTCGAAAGGTCCTTCTCTCGGTCTATGGTGTGACTGCAAAAACACTTCACTTTATTTTTATCCCAAAAAAAAAGGGAAACCAATATAATAAATGCCTCTGCTTGACTTCTCTTTCTCCACAATTTACATGAAAATGATACGGTTTCATTACGAAACCATTTTGTCGTAATTTATAACTATTAAATCATCATGTAGCTGTCCGTGATAGTTGATCTAACGGTTACAAACCCGACGGAATTGTTCCGTACCGTAGCATCTCCCCAATTTACAAATATTTGTCCCCCTAATTTGAATTTAAATGTATGAAATAATTTTCTAATTATAGAAATATGTTTGTTGGAGATTTTCTTTGACTTGCCAAGCAAAACTACCTCGTGCATGTGCCATAATGAAGCGTGCCACAGGGCTTTGTGTGCCCATCTTGCCCAGTATTCCATTCCAACCTGAAATTTATTTCACGCCAATTTGGTTCAACTCAATCTAGCAAAACTATCAAAATTAAATATAAAATAAAATAAAAACACCCTCAAGTAAAAGAAAGAAAGAAAGGATATGGATAACTAGTGGTTGATTATGCAAGGTACATGTATGATTAGGTGAGGTATGTCATAATTTAAAAAACAACATAAATAAAATTATGACATTTAAAAGCATAATAATATTTATCAGTGATTAGGCCTCATTATACAAGAATTTGTACTAATTGTTATAATATCACTGGTGAGTTGTCTCGCATTGTTTATACAAGGAAAATAGACATCATGCAAGAATTTATACTAATTATTAGAATATCATTTGTGTTGTCCTACATTGTTTATATGAGAAAAAAAAATGTCTAACTTATAAGCTTAGTGGAGTACTACTCAACTTACCACAAATTGGTTTAATAGAACCTCACTAAGGTGCATCTAGGGTCACCCTCTTATTGTGTGTTTCTTACATAGTATCAGAGTCGGCCTACGTGAAACCTGCAATGACGTACCGGTTACCCGGCCTACTCTGTGGGTTTGGGCTTCTTATGAAGGACCCTACTCTGTGGGGTTGGGGTTTCGTACGAAGGACTCACAAAGGCTTGAGCTTTGTATGAAACTCACAAAGGCTTGAGTTTCGTATGAAGAACTCACAAGTCACTTGAAAGACTAGGCCTACTCATGGGCTTGTGGTTCGTATGAAGGACTCAAAAAGGCTTGGACTTCGTATGAAAGACTCACAAAGGTTTGGGATTCGTATGAATTACTCGCAAGTCATTTGAAGGACTAATATCACTTGAGAATTTTTCCTAACTTATAAGTCAAATAGGTTACTCCTCCTACTAATTGGTTTTGGAATAAAATCTCACTAAGAACTTATAAGTCTAGTTGGCTACTCCTCATACCAATTGATTTAGAGATGAAATCTCACTAAAAACTTAGTGGGCTACTCCTACCAATTAATTTTGGATGAAATCTTAAAAAGAACTTATAATTAACCTCAATATAGTGATGCGCCTAGATCACCCTCTTGGTGCACCTAGACTCACCCTCTTATGATCCGTTTCACGTGTATGGAACGTATAAGCCTATTGGGCTGCTCCTCCTACCAATTAGTTTTAACATGAAACTTGTGTGCCTAATCGCACCCTCTTGGTGCGCCTAGGTTCACCCTCTTGTAGTAAAACATATGACCGCACCCGTTAACCTCGATTCTACACTAATCAATAATACAAAAATGGCTCTCAACACACTAGCTAATTAGCGACCAATTACTAACTTAAGTATATGATCTAATATATAATCGGAATATGAGAGGCAAGTAAGGTATGCTTTTAAAAGTTGAAATTTGTCTATTTTATATAATATTTAAAAATTGAATTTACTGGAAAATGAACTCACAGCTGCCCCAAAGGAGAGAGCGAATGTACCAAACATCTCAGCGTAAGGAACTTCTCCACCCTGCACCACAAATTAAAAAAAAAAATTAAAAAAAAAAATACACAATAATCGTCAGCTCAAACGCCATCTTCTGGAAAAACCCAGAAATGCATACACATACATACACACCAATAAGCACTCTATGAAATATATATATATATAA